GTGGATATCTTACAGGCTCCAAAACTCATCTCGGATCAAAAGTTATGACTGTTTTAAGTTGGTTTGTCCGTTTAAGGCTTCTAAGCTGTGCGTTTTGGGCTTCTGATGTCAGCAATTTGTATACTAGAGATTTTATGTCAATTATCAGATCGCGCTCAGCTTCGAATCACTCCAAGGGCTCATTGCAGTCCTAGCTCTCAGCACCCGATTGCGCTAGGCATAGTTCGAGCTCTTCAGTTCGAGACTGCAGCCTATAGTGCGACAACCATTCAGATCTAAGACATGAATTTTTTAAGTGCAATTACGCACTCCAAAAATTGGGGGGGGGGGATTATTATGCCTAAAAGGGGACACTAATGTTAGCTCAACAAGTGCTTAAAAGACAAAGTGTACTAGCTATCAAGCCCATACCGCCTCAAAGATATTTTATACCAACCCTATCATATTTTAAGATAAGGATGAATAAGAGTTCTACATGTGTCAAGACAACTTGCAAAAACACTCATTACATTGACCTCAAATGTGTATAAATAAGCACCTCTCTTCGTAAAAAGAGAGGCTAGGCACATGAAAGCTTATTTTTCTCTGTAAGCAAAGTATTTCTCCATCTTTGTACGTCTTATAAGCAATATCATGGAAATGGTCAGAGAATAATAAAATAACAGTGGATGTAGGATTTGCTTTAAGTATCCGAACCACCATAAAAACCTCTCTTGTTAATCATTTATTTATGTTTCTGCAAACATATATCATCTTAACACCATAAACACTTTTTCATTTTCCATTCACGTGTAATTTCTAAGTCAACTTAGTACTTTATAGTGCGAGTATGTGGTGTAAAAAATCAAACATCAACAAAGTATTTAACTTTTTTTTTTCAGTTTATGACATTTATATCTTTTAATTTAATATTTTCTCTTAAATTTAACGTTATATAATTAATATTTTTTCTTAACATAAATTTTCTATAATTAATAGTGTTTTGTCCATTTCAAGCACTTAATTCAAATAAGTGTTTTTGCAGTTTTAGAAACATTATCAGCAAATTGATATTTGCTTTGTTGAATGGCAAACTCTTTAACCATTGAGGTTAATTATATTCAAAGGTATTGTATTTAAGTTGTAAGAGAGTTATTTATCATATTTATATAATTATCTTGATTTATTGGATTTATAGATTAGACTGGGCTCGGCTGACACTTATCCCTTAATAACTCAGTTATTTATTAAAAAAAAAAAAAAAAACCGCTAAAAGATCAAGTATGAACTAGTTATGATTCTCCTGTCTCTGTTGAACTTCTAGACACATAATTACTTATAATAATATTAGTAAAAAATTAAGGGAAAGGATTCATCTTATTGGGTTTCAGAGGAACACCAGTTCCTTTCCACTTCATTAATTTATGTAATTATCATCTGTCTCTGTCGGTGATGTAATAAGTTACAGGCATCAAACTAAAATAGAATACAACTGCAATCCCCGTACGTATAGCCTGAATTTGAAAATTTCCATCCGTTTGCACATGAAATTGATATTATATTTGATATAACACTTGAAGTTGAAAGGCAATGACTTGACTGGTTGCAGGAAATATATAGCTAATTGTATAACATGGTGTTAGGTAGATAATTAAAGCTTATCCAGGATTTAATTAAATAACACTGGCTAGCTGTCGTTTTTGCTTACAGTTAGGGAGTCGGCGTGGGCAATAAGTATGCAGAAATTAATATTAAAAAAAGCAAAAAGAAAAAAATCCAAGTTTATTGAGGACGATTATACCAGCCATTCAAATTAAATTGCTTAATTCCTTGTAGGAGCTTCCGTTAAAAACAAGATCAGCAAGAAAACCTATCTTTGTCGGTATTCGGAAAACAATGAACTGGGAACCGACTTTCTTGACATTCAGTATTAACTATTGCCTACAATACAAGATACCAATTTGTCACGAGGATGATGAATTATACAAAACCAGGTTACGAAACAAGAAAAAGAAGTAATTTACTGTGTCAAAACTGCAAATTTGACCAATTACAAGATACTGCCACTTATGGTTTATCTGGTGAAATAATTAGGTGTCCGGAAACTGATCCAATAAAAGTCCTAAATCTTCCAGGCTTGAAAAAAATTCATCGTTAAAAATTGAATCGGGCATGGCAATTTCGTTTTCTTCTCCGTCTTCAGAAACGTGTTCATTCTCCTTTTTAAAGCTTTCCTGGTGTACAGACTCGTCTTCAGTGGATGTCAGCGAAGGAGTTACTGGGGAAAGACCTGATTGTACTTGATCTGTTTGCTCATTCTTGGCCGGAGTTCCTTGCGTTGAAGACTTGCTTCGGGTGCTTCCTGCGAGGGAGTTTCTCCGTGTTGGGTGGCCGTGGTTGTGCTCGGCACTGTACGTTATGATAAATATACTTGGATCTGTGCTGCTTCTTTCAACTTGTTTCCTTGCTAAACATCCTTTGGAACTGCTGCACCTGTAATAGCTCCTGCATGTTTTTAAACCAGAATTAGGTCTTCGTACATATTTATTCAAATATGACTTTCAAGATTGTTATAATGAACTTGTTGCAAAAGATCGTTGCTTTACCTTGGATGAGATGATCCCTTAATGGGTTTCTGTCCGTACTTACGCCAAGCCCACATATCAGACGAAAGACCATCGGCTGTTACCTGTTTCACTTCTCTTTTCTGTTGATTCTTCCTGCTGAAACAAAAGGATGAAATCAATAATTCTGATAAACCTGTACACGTCTCAAAACTAATATGCAGTTCATAAACTAAGTGAATATACTAACCCTCTTTTCGGTTTGGCTGCTTGAGCGGTATCACCAGTGCTATTTGAAGAACCAGAAAGAGACTGTTGCTTTCTCAGCTTCTTAGGCTTCTTAACTTCATCAGGAACCGAAATGGGACTGGTGGTGAGGATGGTTTGCGGATAGAAGGGCTTGTAAAGCTCATCTAATTCATTTATAATCGTTGTGGTCTCACAAATATCAGGAAATTTTAAAAGGGCATCTTGTTGAAGACTCAAAGGAGAAAAACAAGATGCGGTGTCGTCCATGGAGGTTGGGGCCTCACCGACGTTGCAGCCTCGCACTATTGCTTGCAAATCCCAGTCCATGCAAACAAACTCGTTCATCATCAAGTACAAAAACCGATCAGCTGTAGAATTATAAAGACAGATAGAAGAAGAGAAAATTACGCAGCTACAGTCTTTAGATTTTCAGAGAATCCAAGCATGGATGATATTAATGACCGACTTTGTTTATATATTGGAGAAAAGTTGAAAACAATATATTTTCTGTACTTGAAGCCGCTGTTTCGAAGTTTTGTTTCTTTCTTTTAAACCGGCTTTGTACCTCCATTCGGTTGACTTTTTGAAAAGTCAACCAGTGCCCAGCTTGGAAAACTATTAAAAAAAAAAGAAGAAGAAGAATTTAGATAAAATCTCGTCCCCCATAACACACTTCACGCGCATGGACTTCTTTAATTGGCCCATCTTTCTTTTTAGTCAATTAATAAACAATATTAACAATAATATTAGATGCATGCGTCCAATTGTTATCAATAAAACCTTATCATAAAAATTGCAATTGGGAAAATATCTAAATGAATATGTACAGTTAACCCAAAGGTTTAGACTAACGGTCAAGAAAGTTTGTTCATGTTTTTGAGTTTTTAGGTTTAAACATTGAAATCACTTACCATAATAACATATGGTTTATTTAGTTTATTGGATTTATAGGGTGTTCAATAGACTCCGAAAATTAATTGAGATACGCACAAACTGGTCTGGACACCCCTAGGGTTAGACTAGCGATTAAGAAAATTTACTCTTTTTTTTGAGTTTTTAAGTTCAAACATTGGGATCACCTACCATAATAACATATGGTTTACTTAGTTCATTGTACTTATATGATGTTTAATAGAACCAAATATTAGTTGAGGTACGTATAAACTAGTCTAAACAACTGACTGATATATATATATAAGCTATGGGAGTCACAAGTCACAACTCAATTAATTCTTCTATTATTGATTTGGATTTTGGACGAAGCAACCAGAGTGAGTATGGAACTGTTGGTCCCCGCTCCTCAAACCTATAAGAATGTATAGGATTTCTTATTCATGCTCTCCCATTCCCACTTTTTTGTCCTCAAATTGATCGGCTCTTTTGAGCTTTAGGAGAACAAAACCGTGTACTGACCAAAGATTTCAAGGTCGGAAAAGAGAAAATGATAATAGTAATAATAATCAAAGTCAAATTAATGCTACCAACTTGCAAATATGGACGTAGAATTCCTTTTGGCTTCTGTCTAGTGGAGCATGCATGAGCTTCTTCTGGGTGGAGCAAGTGATGACAGAGTGAGTTATAAATAAATAAATAAAAAGAAAAGGAAAGATGGAAAGAAACGTGAAGTACTGGAAACTAGGGATGGCGTATTCTGGACCACGCAGGCATGATTTTAGATGGATTCGTTATATTTGTTCATCCTCTCTTCTTCTTCTTAATTGCTTTACAGCATTTACCTATGCAGTGTAGAGTATAGGCAGGCAGCCACAGAGAGGTTTGAAAATTGAGATATGGATATGAAAGCTCTTGAATTCGGTTTGGGTGGCTGAGTGAATCACGCGGTGAGGAGAAATAATAGAATATAAACCGACTTCTCCTTATAAGTCTATGGTTTGATTTCTTCATTCAAATTTTCCACGATGGAGACGGACTTTCCATTATTATTATTATTTTATTAGAAACTGCTAATATCTTAGGAAAATAATTTTCATTGAAGTGAGCGGAATTTTCGCACTTCACGCACAAATATAGGCCCAATCAAGCCTCTAGACTCGGGCCTAAAATTTTTAATTCAAGCCCAGATTTAAGATAGTCGGCCTTGTCGTCGGTTATATTATACGACGTCGTTTTTATGATATAAAAATTGAAAAGGAATTCACTTTCTATATTCAAATTCACGGATGCTCTCGCGCCATTCTCCCAGTAACAGACACAGCTTTGTCAATATTTCCCCAATTCAAAAACAAAGAAACGAGAAATGGAAGATTTGAGCAGATCGTCTATGAAGTTTTACTCGGATCAACAACAATGCTATGCTGATATCCTAACTTCTCTTGAGGTAACTGTCGTAAATTTTTTGGTCTTTCTTTAAGTTTGAATTAAATTGAAATGTTTTGGTACAGGTTCGAGCGAGAATCGAAGTTTCAGTACTAAATTTTCTCAAGAATTTGAACTCTCCTGATCCTGCAATCTCCGATCTCCCTCTGGTATTATTATATGAGCTTTGGTAATGTTATTTCAAGTTTAATTTTATGGTGCGATGGATTAAATTAGTATATATTTGATTACAGTTGATCATTCAAATTCTGTTCTTAAGTTAATAAAACGATTAATATGCTTCCTCGCATATTTTCTCGGCGACCGAACAGAAAATTAGGTCACTAGCAATTGCTTATTTTTGAGAATCTAAATTGGTGAAATGGACAGATCAATAGAAGATTGAGTAACAGCCGTGTAAATCAGGGGATACTGACAGATATCTCCTCGATTTTCCTATCTCATTCGTTTTGTACGAGGTCCTTGATGAAAGCCAACGCAGCAAAAGCCTTCGTTAGAGGTATACTAATGAGTTTAACATTAATATTTTACCGTAGCTTCAACTTTAATCAGTTCAGCTAAAGTCTCTAATTTATTCTACTTATGAAGTTTGGAAGGTGATGGAGATGTGCTTTCACATTCTGGTTGAAGAAAAGCAAGTCACGCAGAGGGAACTCTTTTATAAGTTGCTTTGTGATTCACCAGAATATTTCACTTCTCAGTTGCAAGTCAATAGGACAATTCAAGGTCATTTTTGTTCTTTAAATTCTTAGCACTATCAATTGATTGATTGAATTGGTTGAGATTCTTTTGTGGTATAGATGTTGTAGCATTGCTTCGGTGTAGTCGTTACAGTCTTGGAATTATGGCATCTAGTAGAGGGCTTGTTGCTGGGCGATTGTTGCTTCAGGCACTTATCTTATCTCTTTTATCTCTTTTGATTGCATTTTTGCATTCTGTCTTATATGTATGGTTTAATTTGACACACAAAAGTCGGTTTCTAAGAGCTTGTGATGTGAGATTGAATGCACAGCTTCAAGTGTTTGGCAAGAGCAAAGTCGCTTGTTATTTTGTCATCTAACGAATTCAAAGAGTAAATATCACTGTTTTAAAAACCGGACCGGACCAGCCGGTCCAACCGGTTGGACCGGGACCCGGGGCCTTCTCCAGGTCGGGTCACTCTTTTTGACTATTTTAAGTTTAAAATATAACAAACACACCCCTGATTAATCTGCATCAGTCCCTGAAGGTTTCAAATCTAGCAAACACACCCTCTGGCCAATGCAAATCAACAATGACCTCCCCTTTTCCGGCGACCTTCCACCTTCCCTTACTGTTGGAAACCACCCTCTGAGTTCTGACTTACTCAGGCGATGTCACGCTTCATCTCCAGCCGCCGCGTGATGTTTTGTCATCCACCTTTGCCGCGTGATTTTTCTTCTATTTCCCGGCGTCGATCGGCCTTCTTAGGCATCGACAGGCTTCCTCAGCCACCGGTCTACCTTCTCCCAAGCGCCCTTGTCGTCGTTCACGAAGATCTAGTCATCTCACCATAAAAAGCCACCGCGATCATTGACTTCCACCACCGATCTGCCATTTTTAGGCGATGCCTCTACTTGCTAGCTACCGATTCGCCCTCCCCATCATCAGAGCGAATTGCCCTCCGGTTCGGTTTTAAAACAATGGTAAATATAACGCTAGTTGGGCCAAATGGGAATAATTGAGCGGGCAGATAGATCCTATTAATGATAACTTGGCCTTCCCTCTGAATCAAATTAACTGGAATGTTATTATTAAATTAAGTCAGTAGATAAGATAGTTAACTATATCCTGCTTCATCCAGTTACATTTTCTGGTTTTGTTTTATGCTGCATCTCGATGAAGTGCACTGGCTTATTCATGGTTTTGGTTTTGAAACGTGCCAGGAACCAAACCATGAGGTCGTTGATTGTTCAGCATGTGGATCTTCTGGTTATGCTATTTCTGGTGATCTGAACTTGTTAGAGAAGTTGGTTATGAAGACAGATGCGAGGTACATCATTTTGGTGGAAAAGGTAATGTCTCTCGTCAAAGTTCTTGATTAATACTTTCTAGTGGTTGCGGCTTTCCAATTATCAAACAACACCTCTCTTAGACATATGGGTTTGTGTAGCATGCAATATTCCATCGGCTGGCTGAGGATCGTGTATTCGATAAAATTCCAAGTATTCTTATCACAGCCAAAGGATACCCAGATATTGCCACAAGGTAACTCTGGAACATGTTAGGCTGATAGTATTTCAACTCAACAGTTTGATGAACCTTGCTGGCAAAAAAAGTGAATTCAGAGCGTCAAGTAACTCCTATATTAGCTCATGCTATTCTTTGGGTTCCCTATAGGTTTTTTCTTCACAAAATGACACGAGCTTTCCCAGACTTACCAATTTTAGCACTGGTTGACTGGTATGGATAACTTTTATTCCTTGTTCAGTGCAACTGATATGTTATCAGCGAACTCACGCATGCTGTAATCTTGTAAGGAATCCCGCTGGATTGGCTATACTATGCACCTTCAAGTTTGGAAGCATAGGGATGGGTTTGGAGGCATACAGATACGGTGCATGCCTGCTTATTACGCTAAATTATACTACTTTTCCCCCTTGTCCAGGAGATAGCTACTAAATTTTTTTTTTTGCACTATTCAGCTTGCAATGTCAAGTGGTTGGGACTACGAGGAGATGATCTACAGCTGATCCCTGAACAATCTTTAGCTCCATTGAAGCCACGAGACCTGCAAGTTGCGAGAAGTTTGATGTCTTCAAAGATATTACAGGTAAAGTTCATTACCAATAACCAAAAAGTCAAATTTCAATCCTCTCAATCAGTCAATCTGTCGTGTTCTCAACTCCTTGGATTCTTGGTATTTACTTCCAATTAAAGGTGAAAAGGACTAACGCTATCTTTGACAATTTCATTTCTAAAAAATAAAAATCTAGAATTAATGGTGTTTGCCAGGAAAATTACAAAGAAGAGTTGACATTGATGGTTCAGAGTGGTCAGAGAGCAGAGATTGAAGCTCTATACTTCCATGGATACGATTATTTGGAGAAGTATATAGAGAAGAAAATTGTTCAAGCTAATTACATCTAACGAGAAAACAAAGCGTGAAATGATATGCAGACAGATGGGAAAGAAGACATTCAGAACAATAACAAAACTCAAAATGGTAGGTTTGTCATAAAAAGTTAAAAACACACTTTAGATCTTCTTGATTTGCCTGTGAGTGGTTTTCTACATTTGCTGTGATTTAATGGCGTTTAGACTGACACATCAATCAGAATTCAGAGCATATAGCAATAATACTGATTTTAATCGGTGAATACTGCATCTGAAAAGTACTTTCTTGCTAGAACTGAATTAATGGACTGAACTAGACAACTAGTAATTTTCACAGTAAAGCTGTAAAGGTTCGCTATATATTTATTAATCTCACGCTTTGGTGACAAAATCGTAGCCACCATTTTTTAAGATACAAATCTAATAATACAATACAACCATTGACACTACTGGATCTTATATTTGATCAAGAAATAAAATGAGTAATAAATTAAAAATTAAAAATTCCTAGCACGTTACCACAACAAATCCAATAATTAGATGACATATAAATAACATATAGATGCGATGCTAATCCAGTCTCAGCTGCAATTTACAGACCGTTACAGGATCTCAGAAATCTAACAAAAATTTTCAGCCTCTCCTCGATGTGAGACTAACTCGCTTTCCCTCTACAGAGAACTTCGAACTACCATCTAACTGCAGCCAGAACCAAATATGTCATAAACAACTTTATATGCATACCAGCTACGTTCTTAAGGCTACATTCTTAAGTACAAATTAATTATGAAGCATCATCCTGTATAGAGAAAACATGACTCAGTGGCCCTTATTATAAACCAATAATGACTCATGCATGGGGCTACATTCTTAAGGCTTCCAACAGCGAAAATAAGAATCCACGTCAGATATGATGAGGGATTGATCGCACTTCTTTTGGTTCTATTTAAGATTTTTTTATGTTTATGTAGAACTGGTACAAAAATCATTCCTTTCATGAGGTTAAGGAGGGTTTGGCTCCATAGCACTGTACTATACACTAAGCCAAACTAGCTCTAAGACAAGTAGGGGCCCTCATTCCATTCCTACCTCCCCGCCCTTTGAAGTAAATTGGGATAAATTGATAGAGGCAACTATTTATTGAATATGAATATCAAAGGGATCCCCATAGTGATAGGAAAGAAAGATGCAATCCCTAATAGGGAACAAAAAGTAAAACGTGCCATTCTCCAATGCCAATAAATTGTATATGTTGCTCTGTAGTCACTAGATATTCATACCTTTCGTCTCAAGTAAGCAAGAGCATCTCTCTTGGATGAGAAGCTGGATAAGAACTGCGTGGAATGTTCATCAATAAGAACTTTCAGCTCTTTCAGCTTTAATGACTCTCCAGGTACCTGAAATAAGAATTAAATTAGAGACAACTACTAATACAAAGTGTACAGCCTGCAATTTCAGTGACAAACCTGTTGAAGAAGCTTTTTACACAACTTTTTCAACTTCATTTTGGGTTCATCAATCTTTTCCATCTCCGATGAGTCTTCACGTTTTCGTTTTGCTGATAAACCAAAATCAATGGATGGTTCCTCAGCAGACTCCTCATCATCACAATCATCAAAGGATGTCTTTTGTCCCTGAAAGCGGACACCAGCTATTTTCTTTGGCCGGTCCTTAATGCCCAGTCCTTGCTTACCAGTGGTGGATTTATCCTATAAATTTTGGCATAAAGCATCAATGATTTAGTTAGGATCAGGATTCTGTAAACATCAAAGAACATAGTTTCTGGTTGACAAGCAATGTAGAACTGAAGGAGAATTAAGCTTTATCAAGTGAAGTATCATTTATTTGCTTTTTTTTTTTCAAAAACATCAGTAGAACAAAAACAATTATAAAGTATGACACTGTATCTACTGTCAAAAAATAGCAAATTGCTAACTATATTCATTCCAAATGCACTATATTAAAGAAGGTGCACATATTGTAACTAACAAAATTAGCAAGAACACATACTTGAACAAGTTTGTAGAGATTCTCCTGGTCATCTTCACAAAATGAAGTCCTTTTGTTACTCTTTTGAGCATCTCCTGTTTTAAGGGATTTCCTTCTAGTAGAGCTTGCCCCAAGATAACCTCCAGAGATAAACCCATATTTAAAGCCCCACCAATCTGGTGATAATTCTTCAATTTTGTGTCCTGCTAGAATACGCTAAGGTTATTCAAGAAAACATCAATTGATAAAGTTTATGCTGAGATATTTGGACTAATGGACAAAATAATACAAGACCTATCTCATCCTTTATGAATATCAAATTTTCTTTCTTGAGTGATAACTTAATCAATCATCAAAAGAATAACCTTATGATAATTGTCAAGGAATTAAAACAAAAGGCCGTCACAAAGCATATTGAGTTGACAGCATGATTAAAACCAGTGCAATGTGCACCAACCACTCTTTTTGACAAAAAATAACAAATTATAACTGTTAACTTTTACAAAAAATAGTGTCAAAACAAAATATGCATTTTGTGAGTCACATTACCATGAAAGAATTGCAAGAGTATACATGTCAAGACAAGAAATTGCATTAAAGTGGATAAATGATAGACCAGATACACCCATAAACATTTGACGGCAAGAAACTCCTATTTGACTTTCTTTGAATAACAACATCAATACAAATAGCCAACAGATCTGATATAGTGTAAAATACTAATTACCATATGAATCTGATATATGTTACATGTTTCCAATAACAATTGAGATTGCGCAACATGCAACTTTCTTTAAAAATCTGATATTTGTTTTAAAAGCACACAATATAAACTTTACTGATTTCTATCAACATGTGGTATTACCTTCAGTACAAAAATCTTGATTCTCAGATCCCTCTGCAGATTCCAACACATCATCTTTACTGGGATCAATCTGTGGCTGCTCCTCAACCTTTTTGATCTACAGTACAGTTTAGCAGAGTAAATAAGCAGTGACCACAATCAACTTTCAGCAACTAATTCTTTTATATGTTCTACCACTGTTTACATATTGAAAATTTGCATGATAAAAGACGAAAGAATAAAAATTATATAATTGTAAAGAGTAACCAGATAGAATGTGACAGCAGAAAACAGAAAAGGTAGTAAATATATGAAAGCTTACAAGAATTCCTTCAAGATCCTTTGAAGAATATCCATGGACAAGCTTCCCTCGCTCTCTCTTCTTATATCTAAGAGAACAAACAAATAAAAGTTATAGTATAAGTGTTGTTTTTTGCGATGAGCATTTACAAAAATATTACACATTCGGTTGCAATACAATGGCACCAACCTTCCTCGTGCTCGAGTGGTCTTGACAACTTGATCTTCAGCATCATTAGAAACATTAGTCTCAGTTTCTGCTTGAGCTTCCTCCTTTTCAACTGTTAGATACAAAGACAAATTTTTCATACTATATTACATTATTATAATACTAAGCAAAAAAGTATTCGTTATTCATTATACATACCTTCAGCATTAATTTGTGATACCTGATGCCAACCAAACAAATAAGAAGAACAATGTCATAACTTACACAGACCATAAATCTACTGGCATAGAAGGAATTAATAAGAAACATAAAACATACCACTTTCAATCTTTTCAGTATACTATCAAATTGTGCCGTATCAAATGCCCATGGATTTGGCTTCTCTAGGCCAACACCTATCAGAAAAATCAAAATATTACATCTAAATACAATACAACTGACTCCATTTTAAGGAAAACATATTTCTTCTATCCAACTCAATTACTATTACTTAGAATATCTACAATTCAAATTCACAAAACATTTCTCCTATCCTACGTATTCTCAACAGCGAAACAGAGCATAAATTTAAACAAACATAACATTGAAAAATCCAAAACTACAAAAATAAATACAGTGAGAAAATAAACAAACCAGTAGTGTCCTGTTTGTTTTTTACTCTAATATGTCCTTTGATCCCTTGCTTGTCTTTCCCTAGCCCCTCTCCTTCTTCCCATCCCTACACACAACCATCACGTGATCAATCAAAACAAAAAGAGAAAAAAAAAATCAGCTCAACAGAAAGAGAAGTTGTGAGAGAGGAGGTACCATTTGTTTCATGAGACGGAACGCAGCGGATTGGCGAGCAACACCGACATAGCAGAGAGGGGCTTCTGGAGCGGCCATGCTTTGTTCTTCTTTTGAGCACGGCCGATGATCTAGAGCCGTTTTTTGCGTTTGAAGTTCAGGAGTAAAAAGAGAGTTTGAAAGAGCCAACTCCAAAAACCTAAGAGGGAGAGAGGAATTGTAAGATGTTTTGCAAGGGTTTTACGTTTGTGGGGACGCATTTATTTGGCGGTTGCGATTCCGTCGGCTATAAAGGGTGGGGCTTTTTTAAAATAAATCAAGCAATCTGACGGTTGCTATTGCTCCTAACTAGCTGATCCACATGATATGTTCCTGGGTTACTTTTACTAGGAAATGGAATTTATCACCTACTGCAAACAGTACACTAGTGCCAACGCAACATTTTTACTATTAAGTCCTCCAAAAACATTATGCTTGCTTATTTGTTTATCTTCACTCTTTGGTATTTCTAGTACCCGGCCCAGCCCGTCCTGAAAAAGACTAGGCTTTACCCGATGTTAACAAGCTTGGGCTTGGGCCTATAACTGATTTTAAGGCCCGCCCTAAGATACAGGCCGAGCATGGGTTTGTTTTTCGACCCGATCCAACCTGACCCGACATTTTATTATTAATTTTACTAAATTACTCTTATACTATATATCTAATTACAGAATTATCCAACATATATATAAAAAAATTGAAATTTATTAATATTTAAAAATTTACAGTATAAAAATAGACGGGCTTGAGCTGGGACTAAGATTACAAAAAGCTTGTCGCACCGGGCTTAGGCTTTACCCATCATCCCCATGACGAGCCCGGGCCTTTGTCATGGGGTCGACCTTGGGTCCGAGCGGCCGAGCCATTGCCATCTCTACTTCTCTCTAATATTTTTTTCTTGTCTTCTAATTCTATCCTTCTTCTGCAAAACCAAATAAAGAAAAAAAATATTAAATAACATTATTTGGAACAAAAATTGAGAAATAGCATTTTCTGGAAAGTGTTTCGAAAAATAGTATAATCCTAATTCAGACTAATTATACTATTTTTAGAATGAAATTGCCCTTGTATATATACAAAACTTGCACTATTCACCAGCTTTCTTCAACCTCAACCTACGCCTTTTTCTATTGCCAAAATTCAAACTTTCAACCCTAAACCGATACGCACCTCCTACTTGTGTCGAAATCGAGTGGAAATGCTAGTTTTTGTGCTGAAATCGAGTGGAAATCAAGGGTTTCAGTTGGATTCGACCAAAAAACATAAGGTCTATTGGAGAATATGAAGTATGTTTTTGGCTAAACACTTGGGGTTCAGTTGGATTCGTCTAGGACAAGTTTTGTTTAAACGGTCGAATCCAACCAAATGACATGGTTTCAGCCATATTAGGCCACCTTAGTATCAAATGGCAGACGTCGAATCTGGCTTAATTCTCGAGTGTTGGCCAAAACTTGTCTTCAACCTTCAACCAATTTTCTATCTAAAACATCTAACGTTGGTCAAAACCCATACCTAGATTATGTCTAAACCACCCATTTTCAACATATCTATTGAAATATAAGCTTAATCAACTATAATAACAACAAATCCTTTAAAAAATAACTTATTTAACATGTTTCCTACACATATATGCAACGTACGCAAAATATTAGATTTCAAATAACTTTCAAATACCAAAACTTACCTCTTCTCTCTTGTGAATTGTTTAATAAGCTAATATATCAAGAAATACATCAAAAAAGTGCTCCTCAAGATCACAAAATCAAGTCTTCAGTTAGGATTTTAGAGTGGAAGCATGTTTTCAATTAATGGTTAGGATTTTGTCATTAGGGGCAATTTCATCTGCCAAATTTATGCTTAATGGAAATATGCTATTTCTTGAGACATTTTAAAAAAAAGTGTTAGTTTTCAACTTACTCCCCCAATTTGTGCCATTTAACATATTTATTTAAAAAATATAAAAAAAAAGACACCAATGCGCGCGCACACACACATTACTGGATATCAATAATACTACGTTTACATCAGTTTCTCACATCACTCTCTCACATCATGAAGTGGTAGATGACGTGGCACTGCCATCTCATTTACCACCTCACCAAACTGCCACATCACTTCCCTCTAAAACTTAATTTTTTTTTTTTTTCAAAATACCCTAAAATTTGAGATCTCCACTTTCCCTCAAACAAATCAAATCAATTTCAATTTCCCTAAAATAGGGACCCAAAAAAATTCTCCCCAAATTTTCTTTCAATTTTGAAAACGCTAGCCACCACATTCTCCAATCTCAGCCGCACGTTGCCGCCACCTAGTCGCACCAGGTCGTCGCCATCCACCATCCCAAACACCCTTCACTCTACTGACAGAAGGTAGCATTTCAATTAACTCTACTAACACTCTGATTTGTGTTTTTGTTGCATGTCATCCTAAGAGCCACTCTTGGGGGGTTTGTCATTTATTAATAATGGAGTCAATTTGTTTGTCCTGCAAAAGTTATTTAAGGGTTAACAGTTGGAGTTCCTTGTCCAGGAGGCCACAGGTAGAGGCGAATAACCACCCCAAAAAAAGAGCCAATAACGTAAGATTCAGTTTGGTGTTTCTAACGGTTTGATTTTTGTTCTTGAAATATTATTTTCCATGTCTTATCTGTGTCTCTTCAGCCAAACAAATGGTGACACCATGTCATTTTTATTTTACAAATGGACTGAGTCATATCTGAATAATTGCAAGGATGACCAATTAAAGTGTAAATGTGTGTTGATGAGTTAAGAGTGTTGCCTTTTCCCGTTTGCTTTTGTCTTGTTTGCACATCTCAATGTATAGGAAGAGCTTGTGCTTTTTATCTTTTATTTTCTTTCTGTTAAAGTTCTCCAAAATTTCACTAGTCTATGTGTATATGTGCATTGCCCATTGACGCTTCCATTTTTTGTTCTGCATTGTTTTTCCAATTATAATTGTTATTTTCCATTCCCTTTTATGAAGATATTATTTGTTTGTTTCTTCTTTTTTCAAGGGTACTCTTAAATCACCATTGTCCCGTAGGAGAAGAAAAACATGCGCTCTTTGCCAAACAATGGAAGAGCTTATTTACACCAATGGAAGACTTATTGAAGGTGGTGTAATCCGTACTGGGGAATGTTATTAAAAATTTGATCAGACTTATATGTCGACTTATTCATTCCATATAATTTTCAATTGTGACCACTTTGTTTTAGATGCAAATACTTTTTAGTGGTGCCAATGCAGCTCACCAGAAGGCATTTACCAGTTGGAAAAATGTTTCACATAGGCATGGGGCTAAGTAGAATCTACAAATGGTAAATTTAATGCATGATTGCGGATGATGACTTGTAGTTAATATGAATGGAAATTTGTGCTATTATGGCTCTCATATCATAAGTACTATGTAATTGTATCTTGTTATGTTTGATGTTATCATTGAGATATTTGTATTTAGACTTTTTTTGTATTATATGCTGTGTATTTAATTTGATTACAAGATGGCTAATTCTAACTAAGGAGTACATTGTAAAAGAGATAACTCAATGAAATGTGCATCCAGCAAATTACAATTGTAAAAGGTACTTCTAACTCAAATGAAATGTGTTAAGGAGCACAATTGTAAAAGTAATTTGTACATTGAAAAGTAGTTTAACTCAATGAAATGTGTATCAGTAACTATACAATTGTAAAAGGTACTTAACTCAAATCAAAAGGTTAAAGGAGTACAATTGTAAAGGTACTTTAACTCAAATGAAATGTGTATCAACAAACTATATACTGCTGAAGGTTTTTAGATGTTGAACAACACTGCACAGTTGCAGAATGCAAACAATTGAGTGCAACTCCAAAAAAATCACTCTCGAAAACTGCAAGTCTAGAACAGCCGAGAACATCCAAGCAGCCTCCCCAGAATAAGCTTCACTTCCAGCAAACAAGAAACTACAAAACCTACAAAACTGTCCATGGAACAGCAGAAAAATGCAGCAATTAAGCTGCAGCTCACACCCACACCTTCCAAAATTCCTCTAGAAACACCATACAGGCACAAAAGAAGCAGTTTTGTTTGCAGCAACTTCAACATGCCCACACTTCACGGCCAACCAACCAAACACTACAATCACTGCATAACACTCCTGGAAACTCAAAAAAAATGCCCAAGCTTCATAATCAACAAAAAAGAACTGTACAAACTGCAAAGTTCTTCCGGAAACAACGAAAAAACATAAAGCACAAACTACACAAGCTGCAGAAAACCCTAACATTGTATAAACTGCAAGTGCAAGACACACAACTCTCAACAGTCCTACAAAAATCAAAATTCAGCCTTGATCTGCATTTAATTAGGAAATCGTTCAAATCTGGTATGATTCAAAAAATAAATCAGAAAAAAAAAAAAAAAAAAAAAAAAAAAGTTCACTCCAAAATTAAATTAACTTCTACCTATGATGGAAAGTTAGAGTAGGTGCCCTAGAGCCAATCAATTATTGTAGAATTGATTCTTTGTAATAAGTTCATTAATCAATAATAAAAGGCATTTTATTCTATATCGCGTAAATCATTATTATTGCAATATGTATTGATATATGTCCTTAGAATGGTAGAACCATGACGAGGGTATCAAGTGTTCAAATCTTGATAGTGAGAACCCTATGAGCACATATGGTGGCCATTCTAGAAACGTCCGTAGCTCCAGTATTATCTGAAGTAAGGGCACAGTAATACGTAAAGACCCTGTCGAAAGGCATTGATGATCTCACTTGTCAAGGTTGTTTGGTGACAACCTGGTGCAACACAGGATGCTTGTTGTAGGCGGATATACCGCAGCAAGTTCACTGGACTGACCCCAGAGGATTCCATATGGTGGTAACCCTAGTGTCTAGGAACAAATCCTCTAACGAATGGTGTGCATATGATCCTTAGACTTGAGATCACCAGAGCGCCTTGTGCACCGATTGGTACAGTTGACACTAGCCTAACGCAGTTCTTTCAGAGCTGTCAGTACGGTGGTGATTGGCTATATCAAGGAGTGTATCAAGACTGGTGGATTGACAGAGGTTCGTCACTCCGGGTACGGGAGAAGTTATCTCACGGCGCAATTCAGTATATGGCATGACACTAAAACTGTGGCCACAGTGGGATTGAGTTATTGCTCT